TGTTATACTATGATTTTTAGACTGCAACATGCAACATATTGGTACTTATATCTCTTTCATTTCCACCTTTAGGCTGTTGCAAACCCAGAGACTGCAGCCAAGCGGCGGATGAAGAAACAACTGAACAAGAAGGAGTCCAAAAAGCGGAAATTATCTTCACTTAGGCCTACTTATCAGGCCAAAAAAATGAAAATGAAAAACCGCAACAAATTCTAATAATTTACGTATTTAAGTATAATCAGTAAAATAGAGCAATGAGATACTACTAAGCAATGAATATAGTGGTATATCATTCACTAGAAGAAATTATTGAATAGAGGTTAGTTTAATGAAACTTAAGTATCATAATTTTCTCTAGTGCAAAAAATATTACTATACTAATTGCTTTATTTAAAGGCTTTGGTTGCTATATATGATCAATACATTTATTTGCACACTGGCAGTTGAAATTAACAAAATTTAATTGTGTTTGATGAACTTTAGTATTGAAATCCTAGTAGACATTAGGCAAAAGGGTAAAAATGTAATGCAAACATTATGATGATTAGTTTCAGCTTACCTTCCCTTTACAGTTTTTATTTTCCTTGATCAAAATATTAGGTGCTGAAATGGGAAAGGTTAGTACTGTGCTGTAGTGTTTAGGATAATGTGCCAACATGTTCTCTATTCATTACATCATTCTACCCAAGAGATATCCAATAAATATGTTAGTCATTTTTTGGTTCATGGAGATGGGTAAATTATGTGATGATTTTGTCTCAATCTTTTACTACCTATGACTAGGCCTACAGTAGCCATGATTTTCAATCAGTGTTGTACAATGCAAGTGAACCTTTTTGTGACCCATTTATTTCCACGATTAAGTTGTTTGTTTATTCTTATTTTATTTATTTGATTTCAACTACAGTACAGTTAAACTTGCCTAATTCGACTTGGCTTAACTTGAATAATTTCCAAGTCGATCTTATTTAACATGCCAAATTGTTGTATTTTCCATTAAGTAACAATGTGCAAGTTGAATTGTATCGAAGTCGAACAATTTTTCAATGCCATTTTGGATTTGTCTTAGGCAAGTACTGTACATCCAACAGCACAATCGCAAAAAGTTTGTTGGTCCTCTTTAGGTGAATGACTTAAATTTTGTGAAGAGGATAACAAAGTTGCTTGAAACTTAAAGTTTACCATTGGCTTTGTATCAAAGAACATATGTTATGGAACATGGTACATTATTTCACAATGATACATCTTTATATGTATACAGTAAAAAAGAGTAATCTGTAAGTGCCAAAAAAATTGCCCCAACCAGGAATTGAACCCGGGATCTTCTACTTTTTATTGCAGACACCTTAACCAACTGGGCCATTGAGGCTTTTGTTGGAAGTTTGAATCCGATTTGGAGGCAATTCATTTGGCACTCTACGATATGCCAATACAACACTAGTATGTGGTTTTTCTTTATTTTTATTATGCCTTCTGTTGCCTTGGAATCTCCAAAGATATGTATTTTTCTTCCTAATTATATAAATTTGAAGCATTTAACCATCCTATTTTACATTCACCAATAACATTTTATTTTCATTTTCAGTTAGTGTATTATATTGTATGAAAATCTATGAATAAACCATTTTTTAATAGGGTACTGAAAACAGGCAATATTGTGGAAGTTATGTCTAACATGTAACTTAGTTTCTGTATCAAGATTTTTACAGTGTCGCCAGTACATGCCTAGCATATAAGCAATTATAAATGTCTGTATAATACAAAAACAAAATGATTGACATGTCAGGGAGAGTGAAACCAGCACAGACACCATAAATCAATGTTTTCAAACCGGTACACATACAAAGACACAAAAATATTTACAGTAGTTGGTCTGTTTTTTAAACACCCGGTAGGGCTAGCCAGTATGGAGGCCGAGGTTATATTATATCATGGCTTGTGCCCAGGTGTATCTTTATTTTTACCTGATCGACTTCTATAACACGCCATTTATTGCTGATGTTTTGAGCCATTAAACTACAATAATATCCAGATTTAATGCAGTGGGCACTCGGAAAAGGTACATGCTTGTCACTCATTTTGTTTTGTGAGAAGTACTACGTGAGAAGTACATAATTAAGTTACGAAACATAGACTGGTTCTTTTACGGCCTACCTCGATCATTTTTAGACCCAAGCATTGCAGTACGGAATAGATGTGATTAATTGTATTTACATGACGTAAGCAACTTGCGAAACAAGTACTGATTTTTGGTGGTTTTTGGCTGTTTTTTTTGTTGTTAACCAATATCCGATCGTGACATATAGAAGCCCCAGTGTATGAGATATGAGCACATTCCTGCCAGTGGTTTCAGAGGATAGGTGAAGTTATGCGGTTGCGATTTGCAGAATTAATATATAGATAATAATAATGAACGACAATAATTATGATAGTGATAATGATTGTTGGCTGATTATTAATGAGAGTAAATTTTACGTCAAATCCAAAACGCTCCTTTTTTTTTACTAATAAAGATTTTAAAAATTAAATTAAATTTAAAATTTAAAGATTGCGGAGGAAAAATAAAAATAAAGCAAGGCTGTACAGAGGTGCCATAGCCACATTCCGTACCACAGCTTAAACTATTGTGGCTGGGGTTAATCTGGACCCTCCATTTAATTTGCAAGTCTTTCCCTGGCGGAGTGGAACCAGGGGGTGGGGGAAAAAGCTGACACCCTGAGGTGAGCAAATTTTAAGAATAGGTTCCTCTAAATGCTTAAAAATGGCATTCTTTTGTCATAGCAGTGTTCCTCCTCGATAAAATTACTGACTTTTTCCCCAACGGGAGCTATACATCCCTCCCGTCTGCATCTGAAAGGTCTGTACTGGGAGTCGAAAAGCACCACAGATTATTATGGCACCTCAGATGCCCAGAAATGGGGCGGGGGTACTGGACATCCTATCCCCAGTGGATTAGTATGATATATATCCTACATAAATAATAAAGCCACCGCTCGTTACGCCACTGAGCACATGGGTACTACATTCCTTAACGTAATAATGGCTAATAAACCTTGTTTTTAGGTCTTCGTCTTTTGGCCTTTTTTGTACACCCTGATTTATGAAATACTTGGAAAATTGGCATCAGGGATAGAGTGCTGTGTTCGTCGTGAATCAATAGAAAATTCAAAATCAGAATTAGTAGTAAATAGTGGTAAAATAATCGAGCTCTCCTTTCGCCCACTACTGGGTCCACCACTGATCTTGTGGTTACACTTCTCAATTTTTTTCTCCCCTTTTTTTTTTTATTGTTCAGCGGGACTGACGCTCAGCACCCGCTTCCAAAACATAAATGCGTTATTCTGATCATGAGGTGATCTGTATTTCTATTTGTATTTCGAAAAATAGGAAACACAAGAAGGGCACTTTGGATTCATTAACTTCTAATTCATGCGTTACTGTAATAATAATATTATATAATGGCTGTATTTTATACTTGTAATCAACGTGTTATTGCTTTGTGTGCCGAGTCACTTTTTTTTAAGGGTGCACACTTGTGCCCTCCGGTGGGTATTAAAAATAGCTCTTATTTCTTCTAAATATACTAGATTTTGTTTTGTTTGCATACTTCGAAACAAATTAAAATTTAATTTAAATTGATAAAGGACAATGTTGATGGCGACGATAACAACAATAATTACGACTGTTGGCTGTGTTAAGATGATATAATGAGAGTAAATTTTACATGTGAAATGCAAAACACTCCTTTTCTACTGATAAATGCCTAACTTTAAAGATTGCTAGGGAAAAATAAAAATAACGCAAGGCTGTGCACTAAACACTTTCCGTAAATAGTTTAAATGCCTGAACAAAATTTTCTTCAACTTAAATACTGTACACGGTGGGGTGCGGTGTTCGTATATCACAGACCCTACATCTGTGATATAATATAATTATTGATTTGCTTTGTCGATTTTTGTATTACCACTGACAACCAATCACACAAAACGCAAGGTATAAATTATATTATGTGACGACTATTATATATACAGTCACAAATTATACATTATTATAATATATTATGCGCAGATTTTATATCAATGTTCAAGTTTTGATCAGCATGCTTCACAATGGTTCTGTTGCAGACGTATTCAGCGCAGTAACTATGCAACTAAAGTGCCTTGCAAAATAGCCAGCATCCCCCACCCTGATACATAATTTATACATTTTCTTTCATTCTTTTGTATATAATAATGTATATACGAATGTACGAGGTAATTATTAAACCTTTTCTATGCAATTTCTATACATTTTTCAAACAATATGTACATTGAACATACAGTTTGGGTTGTAAACATTGCAGTTGACTATGTAGTCGGTTAGTGGTTTCATTTACTATTTAGAATGAACAATTATTATTTTGTTGTCGTTTGTATTGTTTAACTGTTTACTTATAGTAAATAAAAAATTATGAAAATAAATATATGAACCATTGTTGATAAATTGATCATCATTAGTCTGGCCTCCAACTGATTACAGAGACACACAAGCCTCGCTACCACGTCAAGGTTGATGATCATAGCGAGGAATAGGTTGTACATTTCTGCACCCCTTCACAAAAACACATAGTATATGATGCATACTGTACATAAAGAAAACCAAAAGGTCCACTGATTAATCTCAGATAAGAAAGTATAATACATACTCCAAGTATTGAAATACACGCCATCGTGTTGGGATTCAATATTTCGACATTAATTATGTCTTCATCAGGAATGATCCTGATGATGACATAATTAATGTCGAAATATTAAATCCCAACACGATATGATCCTGATGATGACATAATTAATGTCGAAATATTGAATCCCAACACGATGGCGTGTATTTCAATACTTGGAGTATGTATTATACATTCGTACATAAAGAAAGTTTAGAGAAAACATGTATATAAATGATAGTATTATATATTGTTATTTTCATTTATAATCTATAATAAAACACATGACATTTCGACATACTCGCAGTTCATTTGTGATATTCCTTTGTGCATTCTGCTTTGTAGTCAACTAGTGTGTGAAATCGCTCGAAGCACGGCGCAGGACACATCGGCTGGTTGCATTCCTTACACATGTATGGTGTTTGGTGACGCTTTACCCCTCTCTTCGAACACACTACACAGTCTGGTGTGGTTTGTCTCCCAGCTGGTGTTTTTGCATCATTGATTGACACAAAATGACGTTCTGTTAGCCGGCGGGGTGGAGCTTGCGATCTTCTCCCAGCCCTTGTAGAAGGACGTGCATAGTTGGCAAGTAGACTATCAATGAGTTCAAGGCGCAGTTTGTCGGATCTGACACGTTCATCTGGACGAAAACATCTGTAAATAATAAGAGCATTTACAAAACTTACCTCCAAAAGGTAGATGAATACCTTCTTCCACCATTCCGCGCTCTTGTGAATGTGCAGGTAAGTCCATATCAACCTGTCGGCTTGGTCCACTCCACCCATGTACTGAGTATAGAGTTCGATGGCGCATGGTTTGTTGATTACACGGTGATTTGGTCCATGTCCTTCCCTCACTTGCCTGTCAAATGTCATAGAATTGTGAACTGTACTCAAGACACTTACCTTTCTCTTGTCCGTCCAAGCAACAAAGAGCAACTTACCATCTCTTTCAAACACAGAATCACCAACGGCAGGATTTGCATTTTTAATGGCATCGGGTGTTCCTCTCCTGTTTGTTCTCAAAGTGCCGCATGCACCTAAACCTTCATCAGCTAGCTGGGTAAATAGATCTGGAGAAGAAAAATAATTATCCATATAGACATGATGTTTCTTACCTGTGATTGGTAGACAAAGATTCATAACTGTCACCTGTGTGGCGTGGCCGTTGGCTTGATTATTCCCAGTATGCAGTTTTGAATTAAATACGTATCCAGTCTTGGAATCGGCCAATGTCCAGGCAGTCATCCCTCGTTTGTGTGGTTTCTTTGGATGGTAAGTCTTGAAACCAACTCTACCTTTGAATGCAATCACGCTCTCATCTACTGACACATTCCTGGAGGGATAAAAAGCTGTCTGAAAATTATTTACAACATGATTCATAAAAAACCTAATCTTGAAAGCCTTGTCGTAATTCGGGTCTTCTCTGGGAAGAGCATCATCATCATCTACAAGATGAATACATCTAAGCAAAAGAAAAAATCTGTTTCTGGACATAATAGATCTAAATCCAGGATGATCCAGAAGCCAATGGGTCGACCAATGCGACTCGTATCTGCCATGCCTAACCATTCCTAGGCCTAAAATTAAAGCAATAAAAGCCCTTACCTCATTTACATCCGTATCACGCCAACCTTTCAAATTGGAGTTATCTACATTACCTGCATTTAGAATGAGCTTTCGAGCGTATTTGTTGGTTTCTCTTACCATAAGCTGAAGCATGTCGTCGTCTATAAAGTGATGAAAAATATCGAAGATCGACGAGTCTACGTCATGTAGCCTAGGCCCAGCGTTTTCCGTATACTCACCCAACCAAGCATATTCGTAGGCACGATTCTTCCATTCAAATGTATCGGCTACCCTTTGCCTAAGCCTAGGCCCAGCAATATCTTCATCATCCATGCCGTCGTCGCTGCTGCTACTCTGTCTATCCGACATATCATCTTCATCACCAGGTTGTCTAAAATTATGGATAAAATCCTCTTCTTCGACGTCCTGCGCATCCTCGGCTGTGTAGTGTTCAGCGGCGGCCATTTCCAAATCGCGATGTAAAATATTAGTTATGTTTTTGAAACGAAAATTGTACTGAATTTTCAGTTAGCACAAATCGAGTTCAAATACGATCATCAGCAAGAACTATGACCTCTTGACCCAAGCCAAAAACAATGGGCGTATTCGACTGGTTCACTTTGTTGACTACGATTTTTCGTTGAGTATTATTTCCATTCGACTGGTTCGTAAAATTAATAGACTTCGTTTTGACAAGGAAAATTAACGTAAACCAGAGTGCGTTAATCAGCGGTTAGTTATCCAAGTGACCAAAACAAACATGGCCGATTGGTCAGTTTATCAACAACGTTTGCATTAATATAATTTAGATTAAATTTCAGAAAATAAAAAAATTATAATATTTACCCACATGAAGTCAAAATATAATTGTAGGCTAACAGAATTTAAAAACTAGATGAAAACATTTTTTTTTTAAAGGAAAACCCATACAGCTAAAATCTGAAGCAATCTTGATTACGCAGCGTGTATCGCGGTAACTATATGCAGCCATTGTTTTGTCGAGTATATAACACTTTTTTATTCGACTGGTCATCGATCGTTTAAAGCAAGGTAATTTAACAAAAGGACGCACATCTCCGCTCTCGAACATAGCGCGTGCGTACAGTCCTTTGATCTTTACTGTGGCATCGACAGTCCGATACTAGTTGCGAGTACAGCCGTCAATTCTTAGTC